CTAAACTTTGTTAGTGTCTCCTTAGTTTTTTCAAATAGGAGCCAGTGACCTAGTTAACCAGATTTATTACAACAGCAACTCATGCTAATTTGATAAAATATTGCTTGAATAACACACAATCATGAGTAGTTGTACTTGTTTCTAAACCAAGCTAATGGCAAGATTGTAACCTGCAAAATAAAATGCCTACCTTTTTGTTGTTGTTGTTTTGCTTTGTAAATGTTTGGCATCTAGTTAGAGCAAAGTAGGTCATAATGTTCAACCAAACAAATGTTTTCCAGCAGAAATTCACTGTTTAACATACACATTCACTGCATTATAACTATTTCCTAGAATGCTGATTGACTTATTTTTTTTAATTTGGTGAACATAAGACACAATTTGTGTATTAAGAACCAGTTTATACTCGGTGAAAGATACTGTGCCCATAAAACCTGCAAACTAATTTTGCTAACTAGCCAGAGCACTGTTTGTGTATTCAAAATAGTGAATAAATGAAAGAATGTTTAGGGTAAGGGACCATATCTTTGCCTCAGGGTATAGAATGAACTCACTGTAAAATACCATAAGTTATTACAATTATTTACAGTTTTAATATTCAGTTAAACTGTTGGAGCCAAAATAAATAATCTTCAGTTATTGGGGAAGATATTAACATGTGTTCTGTCTATGAAATGGAGTGATTTAAAGATAGCCATCATTACCCAAATTACATGAATATTTGAAGCTGAATGATTATTCCCCTCCGGCAGTGCTTGGCAAATTGCATTCTTTTAGATGTGGACTGTAGTTTAAAAAAATAGCTTGAACATGCATGATGTGCATGTAGAAAACATTTTATTGAGTCAAAACACTGTACAAAGAAAAACCTCATACCTACCAATCAGAAACAGGCCTATGAAAATAACCTAGTTTGAACATAAGTAGGGCCGTATTGGCTCAGACCAATGGTTCATCTAGCACAGTGTCATGTATTGTGATAGTGACTGTCAGGTGCTTCAGAGGGAATGAACAGAACAAGTAATAATTGAATGCTCCATCTCTTGTGGCTCATTCCAGGATCTGGCAAACAGAGATTAAGGAGACTTTAGATCATGATTTTGCATCGCTACCCATCCTGGCTAATAGCCACTGATGGACTTATCTTCCATGAACTGATCTTGTTCTTCTTTGAACCCTGTTATAGTCTTGGCCTTCACAACATCATCTGTCAAGGAGTTCCAAAGCTTGTGTATTTGAATAAAAACATACCTCCTTTGGTTTGTGATAAACCTGCTGCCTATTAGTTTTCATGTGGGGACTTCTAGTTCTTGTATTAGGAGGAGTAAAAAATGCTTCCTTATTTACTTTCTCCACACCAATATCTAGCTCATCTGAAGAAGGGGTTTTGCCCATGAAACCTCATGATATTATATATATTTTTGTTAGTCTCTGAGGGTATGTCTACACTACAGCACTAATTCGAACTAACTTAGTTTGAATTAGTTAATTCGAACTAAGCTAATTCAAATTAGCGCATCTAGACTTAAAAACTAGTTCAAATTAGCATTTTGCTAATTCAAACTAGCATGTCCACACTGAGTGGACCCTGAACCGAGGTTAAGGATGGCCGGAAGCAGTGCCGGCACGGCATCAGATTAGGACTTAGAGCGTGGAGCTACTGTCTCAGGCTAGCCGAGGGCTGTGCTTAAAGGGACCTGACCCCCACCCCAGACAGACAGTTCTCAGGGGTTCCCCGCTTGCAAAGCAGTCCTGGCTTGGAGTGCCCACGCTAGGCACATCACAGCACCCCGGCCACACATCGGCCATCGGCCATCACCCTGGCTGCACTTGCCGCAGGCTGCCATCCGGAGGGGGGGTCAATCAAGGGGCTTCAGGAGAGCTTCCACCCTGAGGAGCCCGCAGAGCCAGCCCAGTCCTTCCCATCGGGGGCTCGTATCCCATTCCTCCCTCACCTCCTTCCACTTACCCCTCCCTAGCCCCCCCTTCCTGATGTACAAAATAAAGGACACGTGTGTTCAAAAATAGAAACTCTCTTTATTGAACAAAACTCAGGGAGACTGGCGATGACATCTTTATGATCTGGACACATGGCCAAGAAACACTGGAGATATTCCACAGAGATTTCAACAACCTACACCCCACCATCAACCTCAGCCTGGACCATTCTACACGAGAGATCCACTTCCTGGACACCACCGTACAAATCAACAATGGAAAATTAGACACCACTCTCTACAGAAAACCCACTGACTCATACAGTTACCTACATGCATCCAGCTCCCATCCAGAACACACCACACGATCCATCGTCTATAGCCAAGCCCTTCGATACAACCGCATCTGCTCTAACCCCACTGACAGAGACCAGAAGCTTCAGGATCTCTACCAAGCATTTATAAATCTCAACTACCCACCCAGAGAAATAAAAAAGCAAATTGAAAGAGCCAGACGAATACCTAGAAACCATCTACTTCAAGACAGACCCAAGAAAACCAACAATAGAACACCACTTGTCATCACCTACAACCCCCAACTTAAACCTGTCCAACACATTATCAATAAACTACAGCCTATATTGGAACAGGATACCATACTCAAAGAGGCTCTGGGAGACAGACCCATAGTCTCCTATAGACAACCACCTAACCTCAAGATGATTCTTACCAACCACCACAGGACATACCACACTAATACCAACCCTGGTACCTTCCCTTGCAACAAACCCCGTTGCCAGCTTTGTCCACATATTCATTCTGCTGATACCATTATTGGACCTAACCAAGTGAGTTATAAGATCAAGAACACATATTCCTGCGCATCCAGAAATATAATCTATGCTATCATGTGCCGAAAGTGTCCGTCTGCTATGTACATTGGACAAACATCTCAGACACTTCGCCAAAGGATTAATGCCCACAAAACAGATATCAGACAAGATCACAAAGAGAAAACAGTTTCTTGCCACTTTAACCAGAAAGGACACTCTCTAAATGACTTAGCCACCTGCATTCTGCTACAAAGACCTTTTACATCTGCACTTGAAAGGGAATCCTCTGAACTGTCATTCATGTTAAAATTCGACACTTACCACCAGGGACTTAACAAGTCTTTGAACTTTCTCACCCATTATCAAGACAGTTTCCCCAATTATCACCTGTAATACCATTAACTCACAAACATCCCACTCTCCCTACCTCTAATATCATCAATTCACAGACACTTACCTTCCTTCCTCCCCCTTCCCACCCCCCCGCCTCCTCCTTCTGTTCTGCAATGTGATTTGTCCTTTTCATATTTGTTCATTTTTTTTAATTGTATCCTTTGGTATATATGGTTGTGACTACTTTCTTCCACTATTTGATCTGAGGAAGTGGGTCTGGCCCACGAAAGCTCATCATCTAATAAACCATCTTGTTAGTCTTTAAAGTGCTACATTGTCCTGCATTTTGCTTCAGCTACCCCAGACTAACACGGCTACATCTCTATCACTATTCTACAGGATTACAAGTTTCTTTTTTAAAGTTATAGATTAACACAGCTCCCCTTCAGACTTTTTTCTTCATGCCAATAGTCCTCTGTTATATCCAGAAACCCATAGACATCTCTTTGACCAGATGAAAAGTCCCAGTCTTATTCATCTCTTCACAGAGGAGTCATTCCATACCCCTAGTCAAGCGGTCCTCAAACTTTTTGGGCTCCGGAGCCCTTTACATGCGTAAAAATATATGTGGAGCCCCAGCGGTCCACTGATTGTATGTGTTGTACCTATCGATGTTTCCAGTTTGTCAACCTCACAGAGCCCCTGGAGATGTCTCGCAGAGCCCTGGGGCTGTTGACCTCCTCAAAGAATTCTAGTAGATTAGTGAGGCATAATTTCCATTTACAGAAACCTTGTAGACTTTTCTCTAACTAAGTATGTTCATCTGTGTATCTGACAATTTTGTTCTTTACTATAGTCCGAACCAGTTTACCTGGTGCTGTACTGAAGTCAGGCTTACTAACCTATAATTGCTGGCATCACCTCTGAAGCCCTTTTTAAAAATTAACATCACATTAGCTAGCCTCAAGTCATTTGGTACAAAAGTGGATTTAAAAGATAGGTTACGGACTACATTAAGTAATCCTGCAATTTCATATTGGAGTTCCTTTGTAATACTTTCTGCTCCTGGTGATTTATAACTGATTAGTCTATCAGTTTGTTCCAAAACCTCCTCTAATGGTACCTCAGGCTGGGACAATTCCTCAGATTCGTCACTTATAAAAGAATGGCTCAGGTTTAGGAATCTGCCTCACATCCTCAGTTGTGAAGACCAATGTAGAGAATTAATTTAGTTTCTCCACTATGGCCTTATTTTCCTTGAAGGCTTCTTTAGCATCTCGATTGTCCAGTGGTCCCACTGTTTGTTTAACAATCTCCCTGCTTGTGATGTACTTTAAAATATTTTGCTATTACTTTTGAGTCTTTGGCTCACTGTTTTTCAAGTTCTTCCTTGGCCTTCCTCGTTCTATACTTATACTTCACTTTCCAGAGTTTAATGCTCCTTTCTATTTTCCTAACTAGGATTTAACTTTCACTTTTTAAGGGACATATTTTACTATGATGTTTAGGCATGGTGGCACTTTCTTGCTATTTTACTGTTTTTAATTTGGGGTATACACATATTCTGTTATGGTGATATAGATTCTATTATGGTGTCTTTAAAAAGTTTCTGTGCAGCTTGTAGTGGTTTCACTTTTGGCACAGTACCTTTTTAATTTCTGTTCAACGAACTTCCTTGTTTCTGTGTAGTTCCCCTTTATGAAACTAAATATTACTATGGTGGGCTGATTTGGTGCCTCCCAGGGATACTACATTTTATTATGTTATGGCCACTATCACCAAGCAGTTTAGCTACGGTCAGCTTTATCCTCTTGGACCAGATTCTGTGCGTCACTTAGGACTAAATTAAGAATTGCCTCCACTCTTGTGGGTTCCAGGTATTCTTGCTCCAAGAAGCAGTCATTTAAGATGTCAAAAAACTTTGTTGTTTATTGAATTAGTTTGTTTACAGAAAACGAAAAGTAGAAGGTATTTTTAAAAACACCATACAGGAATGCTTAACTGTGAACCAGAACTTTAGGGGGATTGCTTATTAAGAAAAGAGAAACTACTACAAGTTATAGTTTAAGCAGACTGCAATTTTTAAGAGTAGATTCAAATATGATCCAAAAAACCTGTTACACATATATTTTACTTTAAAGATTTTAATATACCTCCAAACATGAAAATGCTGACCATTTTACATCATAAAGTTTGTATGTCAGCTGAAAAACATGGTTACCTGTTGTAGAAGAAAGGTTTTAGTCATTAGGTTATATTCTTCAGTGTCATTCAGCAGCTTTCACTGATATTTGCCTGCTAGCTATTTGGTTAATTTTTTTCCCTGTGAAACATACTACTCCAGTTGATAAATGATAAAAACTCACATAATAGCAGTGCTAGCAGATGGCAAGTGTATCCAGTGTTATATGTATATGTACAATTAATGAGTTACACTTTACATGCAGTTTTCATTTTCTTGATACCCCACCAAGTATTGCCAAAGGGCTGATTAGCAACCTAAAAATCCAGTACACCAAAATAAGAGAATGGAAATCACGGTCATTCTGTTAGAACCATCTGCTTAACACACAACACAAATTCATCAAGAGGTTTGTTTCCCTATCAGGTTCCCCTCACGTGCCTACAATATTCATGGTTTACTTAACTCTTGCAGATCTGTAAAGCAATAACTAAAGTCAAGACTAGTTATATTACGGAAGATAAATACAGCTACAGCCACTTTATCAAACTTCCCAATTCCAGCCCGAACACCACTTTCTCAACAACACAAAACAATGACAAAATAACATGGCACAATAACTGTTTCAGCAATGATACTTTGATAAAATTATTATATAATACATGTGACCAACAGTGCTTCTCCTAAACTAATATGAAATATTGGATACAAACCTGTTTTTGTTAAGCCAGCACTGAGTTGTTTAAATACAAGTGGTTTTTCTTGAGTGACAGAATAAGCATGACTCTATTTTCACTCCTTGCTTGGTTATCACAACACATTTCATCTGTACCTTTAGAAACTAAGGAATAGTACAGCCAGTTCCATTTTCAGTAAAGCCAAAGAAAATCTTGCCATTAACTTATGTGGGAGGAAAAGTGGACCTAACAGTTAGTTGGAATTTGAAAATGCGTGTGTATGTTCATTGGAGATAATAAAATCGTATAGGGCATGTATAAAGCCAAATTAAAAATTGTCCTCGCTAACTTTGTTGCTTAATACAATTTAGCAAAACTTATTCTTTAGTTTGACAAAAAAATCTGCATCTCTTTCAGTAATCTTGAGATGAAGGTGACTAATCACAGGAAACATCCATGGATCCTGCCCCATAGTCCCCACCACAACTGTCAGTTATTAGAACACAGCTTCCTTCATGTGTTATCTTATCCTCACAGTTGTTCAATGTAGCATTGTGATTCAAACACACTTCCACTTCATTTTGATCAGTGTCATGACTTGGTTGCCCTTTTTCTTCTGATTCCTCATTGTCATGAATAGATGTTTCTTTGTCCCCATGTATCTCAGATGTCTCGTCTGTGACACCATCTAGATGTTCATTCAAGACTGGTTTGCAATTCCCAACATTTTCAATTGTTGACAATTGTACTTCTAAATTTCTTGTGTTCTCTATAACTTCACACTCCTGTTTTTCTCCTGCTGCTTGTTTCTCCCTTGAACTTAGTTTAGCCTTGATAGATTTCTTTGTTTGTTTGTTGTGCATCTCTTCTTTGGAGAACCTCCAGTGAAACTATAAATAAAAGATTGGGAAGATAAAGGTCACTTTAAACATAAATAAAAACTCAAGTAGAAGTTTGCTTTCTGAAATAATATTTAACTTCAGTTCTAAGGTTGATTTGCTCAAAGGATCCAACCTCAAAATATATATGTGTATGTGTAAACCAGACTACTTAAAATTGTTACATGTTTATTGGGTCTTCACATCCTAAACTCAAAACTCTGGTCATCTGAAGAAGTGGGCTGTACCCATGAAAGCTCATGATACCATCTTCATGTTTTGAAAGTCTATAAAGTGCTACCAGACCATTTGTTATTTTTTAAGTTATCCTGTACAGACTAACTCGGCTACCTCCTGAAGCTTACAAAATTTTTGTTAGTTATCATTCTCTACTGCTTTGTATGCCTACTAAGTCTCTTGATGAAGGATATTTCAGTGCTGAGGTAATAACCCACAACATCCTGGCAAACATTCCAAACTCTGCTGAAAGAAAAAAAAAAAAAAGGAAAGCTGTGCTAATGTTGACAAACAGAGGAAGAAAGCCTGAAATATTATTCCAGTTTTTCAAAAAGTTAGTGGCAGTAGTAACAAAGCCTGACTGATAACACAAAACACACACATTCACCAAGTGTGTGAAGACATCAACTCCGAACATTTAGAAATTCAGCTTTTAAGGTGGAATTCCACTGTTTCATTTATGACTATTTATCCTTTGTCTTCAGATATGTATAAAACAAGCATTACGTACACATTCATATAAAACCAAAACGTGGAAAAACTGTGCAAACAGTTTTATAAGAATATTACTCAAATATTCTCTCTCATACAGAAAAGTATCATAATCCAGTCTTAGGTACTGTTTGGAGTATGCCACAAAATAGCTCTAAAGAGTTTTTGTTTTCAGAAGCCCACAGTTCCCACAGGACCAGCATTTGCAAGATTAAACCAACATCCTGAAACCTTCAGAAACTTTTCCAAGTCAATCTGTAAATTAAAAATTCCAAATGTACAATCTGATCTGTTTCTGCTCAGCCATATATGCAGTGTAGAATCCAGAAGTGATTTTACAGTATAATGTTTTAAACATTGAGCATTTAAAAGACTAAATGATAAGCAGCGCAAGTAGCAAAGCATCCTGAGCTGATTGTACAAAAGTTTCCACGGAAGAAAGCACAAGACCACACTCCTACAACAGGGCTCCTTATGACACTCCCCCTCCGCATTTGGATGATCTATGTTGCCTATTGCTGAAGGCTATATTTTGACTTGTAATAGAAGTAATTCAGGTTTCCTGAAATGTTGATGCAATAGTCATACAATTAAGATCAGAAGGGACCATCAAATTATCTAGTCTGACCTCCAAAATATCACAGGTCACCATAACCACTTACTTACTACTGGCACCACTGAACCTCGCAACTGAAATTAGATCAAGGTTATAGCCCTCAGGTGGCTACTGTGTACCACAGGCAAAGAACAGGAGGGTCCAACGTGTACCAAGGCCTTGGAATGGCAGGAAATTAATTGAGAAGTACCCAGATGAACCTGGCAGGCAACTTGGGACCACATGCTGCAAAGGAAGAGGACCCCCCAAAAACTATTGGATTAGCAGCTGAACATGAGTCCCCAGAGTGACACTCAGCCAAAAGAGCTAATGTGATCCTGGGATACCTAAACTGGGGAATCATGAGTAGGAGTAGAGACGTTATTTTACCTCTGTATTTGATACTCATGCACCCACTGCAGAAGTAGTGTGTCTACTATAAATGCCCACGATTCAAGAAGGATGTTAATAAATTGGAGTGGGTTACAAAACAACCCAGCAAAAATGATTAAATTATTAGAAAAAATGCCATATAGTGATAGCCTCAAGGAGCTCGGTCTAAAAAGAAGAGGTGACTTGATTATAGCCTATAAGTACGTAAATAGGGAACAAGTATTTAATAGTAGGCTCAGTTGTTGAGCAGAGACAGGCATAATGCAATCCAGTGGATGAAAGATGGAGCTAGACACATTCAGACTGGAAATAAAGTGTATATTTTTAATGGTGAGTGTAATTAACCATTGGAACAATGTACCAAGGGGTTGTGGTGGATTCACCATCACTGTCAATGTTTTAAATCAAGACTGGATGTTCTAACAATTAGTTTGGGGAAGTTCTGTGGATGGTGCAAGAACAAACTAGATAATCATAATGATCCCTTCTAGCCTTAGAATGTATTAATCAGATCAAAATTACTTCCTGCCCCCACTTACATGGTGCTCAGCTAGCTCCAGAGCATGTGAGCAAGAACCAACAAACAAACTACCTATGAGCACTCACTGGCCAACTCCATCCAGTGTTGCATCTTCAGCTGTGACTATCCCTGATGCTTCAGAACTATGAAAAAAAATAGGGAGGAGAGAATCCCTTTCTAACCCCTAATTGGTGTAACGTGTTTATAATGTCTGAAAATTAGTCTGAGGGCAAAGGATTTATCTGCCTCATCCCTGAAGGAGAAATCAACCTTCCCAAGAAAAGTCAGCCTAAACTTTCAAGAGGTTAGTTACTTAACCATTTAAACAAATTGTCTCACCAATTTGCCCACACCTAGCTCCTGTTCTGCATCGTGCTGCATGCCCTCACCTGCCGGCTGTAAAAAATGCAGCAGTCGCTATTGGGTACTGGCAGAACCAGGAAGTGGATGGACCATCACCTGAAGGCTCAGCAGCAAGAAGGGCAAAATAAGAAGTCCAGGGAGAAGGGAGGGAGTCTAGGAAGGTGAGGCCAGTGTGGCGTGGAGAGCTTCCGTAGTGTCAGGCTGTTGGGGGTGGGCTCCCTCAAGGGCTCTGGGAAGGTTGGGCTGGTGAGGGGTACTTTGCCCCACACATTTGCAGTTCTTCTGGCACCCATACTGCATAAAATAGGGGAGACTATGGACCTTAGCACTTTCATACAACTGTTTTGCTGCAGTACAGAAATAATTTCCCCAGTACTAAAATTCTATGCCAGAGACCACCAAGAGGACAGCTCACACTGACAATTTTTTTGCCTTTCTTAGCAATCTACTCCTGCTACAAGAGGACCACCCAAAACCATATCTTAGAAGAAAACTTTTCCAAATCAAATGTTGAAAACCAGCTTTCCATTCTACACTTACAGTTTTAAGCCCACAAATTACTGTGAGCAGAAAGTCTGCTGTTTGTGATCATATTTTGTTCACAAATAAGGCAGCTGTGTATATCCCATATGTTATGCCCACAATTAACTGCACATGCAATTGCTTGAAAGCATACAGGGGCCTTCCAGAGATCCTGGCTTCATGATACTGAAGTAATGCTCCAGCAGCCCAAGTTCTGATGAAGCACAAAATCTCCTATCAGTAGCTGGATTTACCCTATATTCTTTTATTAAAACTAGATAAAGTCTTTCATCAAACTTATCTTGCATACATAAATATATTAAAGAGAACACCACAATTTTTTAACTCGAATGCCCAAATTTAAACATTTGAAACAAAGTGTCCTGATTATCAGAGGTGCTGAGCTCCCACAATTCCCATTTAAATCATTTAGAGCTTTCCCTGACTAAAGGCTACATATCAGGCCCAAAATGTTAAAATGTTTATTCTGAACTAAGGCCATTCTTTACAGGGTTCAATGTCCATCCAACCTATTTTCTGCTGAAATGAACCATAAAAGATAAATATTATGAGTAATGAGATTAAATCTGCAGCCTGTGATGGGGGCAATGAGAGAGAGACTTATCTGTGTCTTACAACAGTTTTTATAATTACTTGTACATTTTCTTTCTATTCATCTGGATGAACTGCACAACACCTGACTAGTTCATATGAAGGATTTGGTTTCCACCACCACAGTTTCATTTTAATCTTATCAGCAACACATATTTTACCCCTTCATATTTTTACCTACAAAAAGTTTTAGACATATTATAACAAAAAATTAAATGAAGCTATCAGATTTTAGAGCCTTTGCTTTATTCTGTGCAGAACGCTTAGCTGCTAAATCAAATGTAAGGTGGTTTATGTCAGGCAATTACCAACAGCAGAATAACAATGACAGCTTTTTATAGAACTAGTATGAATTTGGATGACTATCTCTCCCATATTTTTCTTGAACCTTTGACTTGATACCTTCATCTTTTATTACTTGTATTTTTGTACTACATTATTTCAAACTTCCTGCGTGTAAATAATCTCTTATCAATTGAGATTTATAAAATTTGAATGAACCTTTTCAATGCTATAAATAAAAATAATCTTTTCAGTCAGACTTCTTGGTTTGCAGCTGTCACTACCGTCAACTCATTAGTTATGGATGTATCTATTTGAATTTACACTAACATTTATTATATTTGCCCATCCTCTTAATTAAAAACACACAAAGCAAACAAAAGCACTGCTCATGATGATAAACACCTTGACCCTCAGCCCTGCTCCTCCTAAATAGTCTGAAAAAGAAAGGCTTTGCGGTATGCCTAGAAGAGTAATAAATGTGGTCTCTGGCTGATCAAGTACTAGAAGTGAATTCCAAAATAAAGGACACCATGCCAGCATTCATTCTCCTCAGCTATCTGGAACTGGGGAGCAGATTTCACTTGGGAAACTCCATGCGTCATTTTCTGGGGAAGGATTTCTGGTTTATGGGAAATAAAAACCAATCTGTATTCATTCCCATTTGGAATGGAACACAATTTTAAAACTACAAAAATTCCTGTGAAATGGAAATCTTGGGGATTGGCCAGCTCTACTGACCAAATCCACTTAAGAAGTGGGTTCAACATTTTGCACTAAGTTGAGCTTCTGAATGGTCCCAAGGTGTCATCCTATGTAGTCATCTATCCCTAGTAGCCCCTTTGTCCTCTGATGGCTTGCTTTCACTAGATGGGTTGTGTTTCATTTTCATGCTTCACTTGTATGGTGCCCTTGCATGCAGGATGGAAAAGGTGAAACAAATGTGAACAAAACCTGTAGGTCAGCAATTTTCCATTTTTTACCTTGTACAAATCTCTGTGTTTCCTCCTATTTTTTAAAATATGGCATGTTTGGGCCAGGGTTTTTGCACGCTGCTCATTTAATAAAGGGAAATAAAATACTTCAGGGAAATGGGAATAAAATGAAGATACACTGATAATTACATAAGAATATAAGAACGGCCGTACTGGGTCAGACCAAAGGTCCATCTATCCCAGTAACCTGTCTGCTGACAGTGGCCAGCACCAAGTGCCCCGGAGGGGGTGGACCAAAGACAATGACCAAGCCATTTGTCTCGTGCCATCCATCTCCAGCGTCTGACAAACAGAGGCCAGGGACACCATTCCTACCCCCTGGGTAATAGCCTTTTATGGACCTAACCTCCATGAATTTATCTAGCTTCTCTTTAAACTCTGTTATAGTTCTAGCCTTCACAGCCTCCTCTGGCAAGGAGTTCCACAGGTTGACAATGTGCTGTGTGAAGACGAACTTTCGCTTATTAGTTTTAAACCTGCCACCCATTAATTTCATTTGGTGTCCTTTAGTCCTTATATTATGGGAAGTAATGAATAACTTTTCTTTATTCACCCTCTCCACACCACTTCAGTTGTCAGCTGTATGGTCCTTTAACTCTAGCTTGATTTGGTTCCTTTTTATAAGTTAGTGAAATTCTTCCTCTTTCATATATTAGTATTTATTCATATTACAGAAGAACCTAGAAGCTCCAATTGAGATTAAGACTCAACTGTAGTAGAACATCCAAAAAGATAGCAAGAGACTCTCCTCTACACCAAAGAGTTTATAATCTAAACAGAGAAGGAATACAAAGGGCTAAAGAAAGAAAATATTGCTGTCCCCATCTTAGAAATCATGAACAAACATTGAGAGAGATTAAGTGACTTGCTCAAGATCACACATGGAGTCTGTGGCAGAGCCAGGAATTGAGTCTGTGTCTCCTACATCCTATTCCAAAGTCCCAGTCCAATTCCTGGCTGTGTTTTTGTTTTGACTATACCAAATAATCTCTAGTTCCCTCCAATGCAAGGAAGAGTAAAGGAAAGCAACTTTCATTTCGAGTGTTTTGCTATTTCTTTGGTTTAATAGTCCACATCATAGTTTTAATGTGTTTTGATAATATTCAGCGAACCTTCTAAGTCATTAGAAATGTTGAAACTTTTGTGGAGATTCAATCAGAATATTAGAGTCTTGCCAAGATAAACATACACAGGAATTTAAGGTCATTTACCTTAGATTCTTTCTTCTTTGCTTTCTGGGGTAGAGAGGGTCTCTGAAGAAAGACAATCTGCTTAGTGGCTAAATTCCCCTCCCTGTAAAACATAATCCTGAAATTGAATCAAGCTCATACAAAATAGGATTCAAAATTCAAGACACATCTCATTCATTTACTTAAACTGGGCAAAAATGGCCTAAAAATCGATTGTCTCAAGTGTGTATGGGCAGAATGATGTTGTTGGGTACCATCAGCCTCATTTAGGCTCATGTTAATGTGATGCACTTAAAATCCCAGTTCAATCACTGCATTTTTTTCTGCTAAATGTTTTAGAATTCAAATATCAGCACAGAAAAAGTTTTTGTAAAAAAAAAAAAGTCTATGTGACATACACTATAATCTCTATGTGCACTACCATGTCAATTACAGATTGCAGTGTGCTTTTCCTAGCCAAACAATAAGAGATGACGAGTCCTCCTATAGTTCTAGCACTGATTAATCCACAGCTCGAGTGTGTAGTGAAGCACAAGGCAAAGCTAAATGCCTCCATCACTCAGACTGTGCGTTAATCAGCACTAATGACCAATCTGAAGCATTTTTATGGAGGTAATTATAAAATGGTTCACAGAAAGGAGTAGAAGGAAGACAGGACAAAGCACAATATTGCAAAAAGGGTTTAAAAATCTTTATTTGTGATTTTTCATCCACTGGTTTATTGAAAAGTGTATGAAAAGCATTAGATTAGAATAAGTCCTTCCACTAGTTTTCCTTGCATCTTTGATCTTTATAGACTGTGAGCATTCAAGAGCAGGAATTGTCTTCATCTGTGTCTCATACACCACTGAGCACAATGTTGGTCCATTAATGAACAACAACTTGGCATATTGAGTTTTTTTATTCGTGACTGATGAAGTCACCTATTTGAAAAGCTGTTCTGGAACATGCAAGTAGTAATGATCAGATGCTGTCACATGACTATTTTTAGCCAGCTTCCATTAAACATGCTTTAAAATTATGCACACTGCTATTAATATAATTATGAGGCAAAAGTAGATCAAAAAATGACCAAACACCAGCAAAGGAAATTCCAACTGAAAGATACTATAGTATTATTTTACCCCCTTTTGCTAGCTACTGCAGCAAATGATGCGTAACATCACACACTGTTCTGATGGCCACTGATGAAAGTCAATATGAAAGCCTTCTACCATTAAGCAACACCATTTTTTAAAAATGGAGCTAAGAATGTACGCCTCTGACCCAATACACCACACACAAGTCTAGCAGCATTCAAACCCCAAACCCTCTTCCTCCTCAGCAAGATTTGTGGCAGAGCTGAGGGGGAGACAGAAGCGATCAGATTGGCCTAGTGGCAGCTGCAATACACATATGCAGAAGTCTATATGCTAGGAAGATGAACTGTTAGCACAAACTATCATGCTTATACAAAGACTTTCTTAACCAAAATGCAGTACCCACAGTACCTGTTTGTCTTTACAATTGGAGTAGGGAGCACGCAAGTCAACTGCCAACCATACACTGCAAGAGAGTTCAACAGTGGAATATAATCTGTCTGCACTTCAACTCCCTGGGGAATAAAAAAATCAACTGTTAGGATTATCACTCGATGTGTGACAAATGGCTTTTTTAAAGGGGTGTTTTCTGTTGTTTCTTTACAAAGTTGGATACTTTTTGCAAGTTAAGCAAAGCAGGAAAAAAATATTTGAAAACACAATGCATGTAGGACCATTCTACAGTTCTTGCTGAACAATTACATACATTTGTTTAAGCAATGCAAATATGTAATTTCTTTTTGGGCTACTAATCATACATGTGACAGCTGATGAATCAGAGCAAAAGGACTAATTCATTTTGTTTTATTAGAACTCCCTTGGACAAGTGGCCTCCTGCAATCTTCATAGAAAAAAAGAATTACATCTTTGTAAACAAAACATATTTCATGTGACACAAAAATGCATTACACTGTGTGATCCAGATTCTGCTTTTGACAATGCTGGTGTAATGAGCAACTCTGTTGAAAACAAGTAAGTTAACTTCTACTTTACACCAGTGGAGCTGAGAGCAAAATTTGGCCCTCCACTTTCAAAGCATTTCATGGGGAGTCAAATGACATTATGGTGGTAATGAACCCATGTTATTTGCATCCAGCAGCAGAAAGAAAATACGAGTACAATTTGTTTTATTCTTTTTGTCACCACAGGCAAGTAAACATTGCCTATTCGTTATTCTGAATCAGGAAATATGTGGGCGAGACCAAAATGTTACCTTTCACTGTAAGAGTCTAGCTTCAATCAGAGATACTGTACAATAGCCTCTTGCCAATGCACCCTCTGCTAATCTATAAACCCAATAATTCTCTCAAAAGGAACAAGCGGTAGTATCAGTAAAAACTGATAAAGGAAGGTGTCCAATTACCTTAACTTCACTAGTTGTACAAAATAATCTATTGCACATCTACTCTTCAGTGTCACCAGTCTTGTTGATTTATCATAAAATGCTAATACACTTGCCACTACAAATATTACACTTCATAACTACAAAATATGCTTGCCAAAATGAATGCACAAGTATATACTGTGACACGTACGTACGTGTGTGTGTGTGTGTGTGTGTGTGTGTGTGTGTGTGTGTGTGTGTGTTCATTTTCTTGCCAATTTTCAAAATAGGGTTAAAGCACAATGGTTTCCCCGATTATCAGGGTCAAACAGTAAAGTTCTACTTCGCTACACTAGTTCAATTCAAAATTTGTATATATTGTAATAACAATAATTTGAACAGACCTAATTTACATCCTGCTCTAGTATTATAACTAGAAGGTCTGATTTTTAGTCTTACCTGGGCTTCCTTTTTGTGCATATGATTTAGGTCACTTATGGCACATCTACACAGCAGGGCAAAAGTCGAATTGAGCTACGCAACTTCAGCTATGTCAATTGCATAGCTGAAGTCAAAATAGTTTAATTCGGCTTTTGGCGCTTTCTACACAGTAGACGCGCTAGTTGTTATTTCAGAATAATGTTAGTTATTCCAATATAATGCTGCTGTGTAGACATACCCATATGACTGAAAGGAGTATTTGGGCAATTAATCACTTACATGATCTAAACTATATATGCAACTAACTGAAGGAACAAAGTTGTGCCCCTTGAAAGGGAATCTATGATTTGAAAATCTGTCCTAAAATATCAGAGGGGTAGCCGTGTTAGTCTGAATCTGCAAAAGCGACGAAGAGTCCTGTGGCACCTTATAGACTAACTGAAGTGTAGGAGCATAAGCTTTCGTGGGCAAAGACCCACTTCGTCAGATGCATGTAGTGGAAATTTCCAGAGGCAGGAATAAATATGCAGGCCAGGATCAGGCTGGAGATGACCAGGTGGATCCAATCAAGGAGGATGAGGCCCACTTCTAGCAGCTGATCTGGAGGTGTGAATTCCAAGAGAATAGAAGCTGCTTTTGTAGTTAGCAAGCCATTCACAGTCTTTGTTTAATCCAGAGTTGATTGTGTCAAACTTAAAGATGAACTGTAGCTCAGCAGTTTCTCTTTGAAGTCTGGTCCTGAAGTTTTTTTGCTGCAGGATAGCTACTTTTAGATCTGCAATTGTGTGTCCAGGAAGATTGAAGTGTTCCCCTACAGGTTTTTGTATGTTGCCATTCCTAATATCAGATTTGTGTCCATTGATTCTTTTACGTAGGGACTGTCCTGTTTGGCCGATGTATATAGCAGTGGGGCATTGTTGGCACATGATGGCATATATTACGTTGGTGGATGTGCAGGAGAATGTACCAGTGACAGTATGGCTGATCTGGTTAGGTCCTGTGATGGTGTTGCTGGTGTATATATGTGGGCAGAGTTGGCACCGAGGTTTGTTGCAAGGATTGGTTCCTGAGTTCGAGTTATTATGGTGCGGTGTGTAGTTGCTGGTGAGAATATGCTTCAGGTTGGCGGGTTGTCTGTGGGCAAGGACCGGCCTACCTCCCAAGGCCTGTGAGAGCGAGGGATCATTGTCCAGGATGGGCTGAAGATCACTAATGATGCGTTGGAGAGGTTTTAGCTGGGGACTGTAGGTGATGGCCAGTGGTGTTCTGTTGGTTTCTTTCTTGGGCTTGTCCCGTAGCAGGAGGCTTCTGGGTACACGTCTGGCTCTGTCAATCTGTCTCCTCACTTCCTCGTGTGGGTATCGCAGTTTACAGAATGCTTGTTGAAGGTCTTGTAGGTGTAGGTCTCTGTCTGAGGGGTTGGAGCATATGCGGTTGTACCTCAGTGCTTGGCTGTAAACAATGGATCGTGTGGTGTGTCCGGGATGGAAACTGGAGGCATGCAGGTAAGTATAGCGGTCGGTAGGTTTTCTGTATAGGGTGGTATTGATATGACCGTCACTTATTTGTATCGTGGTGTCCAGGAAATGGACCTCCCGTGTAGATTGGTCCATGCTGAGGTTGATGGTGGGGTGGAAGCTGTTGAAATCATGGTGAAATTCTTCCAGAGTCTCCTTCCCATGGGTCCAGATGATGAAGATGTCATCGATGTAGCGTAGGTAGAGAAGGGGTGTAAGTGGACGAGAGCTGAGGAAGCGTTGTTCCAGGTCAGCCATAAAAATGTTGGCGTATTGTGGGGCCATGCGGGTGCCCATAGCAGTGCCACTGGTCTGGAGGTATATGTTCAATACGCCCCACAATACGCCCCACAATACGCCAACATTTTTATGGCTGACCTGGAACAACGCTTCCTCAGCTCTCGTCCACTTACACCCCTTCTCTACCTACGCTACATCGATGACATCTTCATCATCTGGACCCATGGGAAGGAGACTCTGGAAGAATTTCACCATGATTTCAACAGCTTCCACCCCACCATCAACCTCAGCATGGACCAATCTACACGGGAGGTCCATTTCCTGGACACCACGATACAAATAAGTGACGGTCATATCAATACCACCCTATACAGAAAACCTACCGACCGCTATACTTACCTGCATGCCTCCAGTTTCCATCCCGGACACACCACACGATCCATTGTTTACAGCCAAGCACTGAGGTACAACCGCATATGCTCCAACCCCTCAGACAGAGACCTACACCTACAAGACCTTCAACAAGCATTCTGTAAACTGCGATACCCACACGAGGAAGTGAGGAGACAGATTGACAGAGCCAGACGTGTACCCAGAAGCCTCCTGCTACGGGACAAGCCCAAGAAAGAAACCAACAGAACACCACTGGCCATCACCTACAGTCCCCAGCTAAAACCTCTCCAACGCATCATTAGTGATCTTCAGCCCATCCTGGACAATGATCCCTCGCTCTCACAGGCCTTGGGAGGTAGGCCGGTCCTTGCCCACAGACAACCCGCCAACCTGAAGCATATTCTCACCAGCAACTACACACCGCACCATAATAACTCGAACTCAGGAACCAATCCTTGCAACAAACCTCGGTGCCAACTCTGCCCACATATATACACCAGCAACACCATCACAGGACCTAACCAGACCAGCCATACTGTCACTGGTACATTCTCCTGCACATCCACCAACGTAATATATGCCATCATGTGCCAACAATGCCCCACTGCTATATACATCGGCCAAACAGGACAGTCCCTACGTAAAAGAATCAATGGACACAAATCTGATATTAGGAATGGCAACATACAAAAACCTGTAGGGGAACACTTCAATCTTCCTGGACACACAATTGCAGATCTAAAAGTAGCCATCCTGCAGCAAAAAAACTTCAGGACCAGACTTCAAAGAGAAACTGCTGAGCTACAGTTCATCTTTAAGTTTGACACAATCAACTCTGGATTAAACAAAGACTGTGAATGGCTTGCTAACTACAAAAGCAGCTTCTATTCTCTTGGAATTCACACCTCCAGATCAGCTGCTAGAAGTGGGCCTCATCCTCCTTGATTGGATCCACCTGGTCATCTCCAGCCTGATCCTGGCCTGCATATTTATTCCTGCCTCTGGAAATTTCCACTACATGCATCTGACGAAGTGGGTCTTTGCCCACGAAAGCTTATGCTCCTACACTTCAGTTAGTCTATAAGGTGCCACAGGACTCCTCGTCGCTACTACTTAACACTGATGTCCATATATTAGACTATTAGCGGTTCCGCAAAATTCTTTTGAGTTTAAAAGGGTTCTGTGGCCAAATAAAATTGAGAAACACTGAGTTAGAAGACAATGTGGTAAAGCATGAAGTCCAGACCATTAATACTGTATGCTAAAATATTTATATGAACAGACCTTGTTTTAACCTTGCTTTGTTTTTTCACCAAAGCTGTCAGAGTCTCACAATGATATACCTAGTTACAGAGGTAAGGCATATTTGCAAGGCAGCATCACTTTATATAATACAACAGGAAGGTACAGGAAAGGAAGAAGATAGTCTTCAAGAGAAAAGATAAATTCTAATTTAGTCACTGACACATTTCCTTTGAAGCTTATCAAAACTTCTTTGAGTCTACCACGATGGCAAAAATGTCATGTTTATAGAGCCTCCCAGTCACGCAAATCAGAGACTCCACGAACTAGGGATGTAAGTGATTAGTCGACTAGTGAT